GTTCTGTAAATAAAGATTTTTTTGGGGAAAAAAGCTTGAGAAATCATTAATTATGATAGGCAAAATCCATTAAGGAGGAAAACCACGAATCACAGTATCACTGGGTGCAAAATGCCCACAGGAGCAGCTGTGATGATGGGACAACAGTAGGGTGCAGCGGAAAGGTCAGTTATGCGGAGTCAGAAGACCCTGGGTCAAGCCTTTGCAATTCAACCTACCAGCTCAGAGACCCTAGGTAAGTCCAAGTTTACCTCTTCGTCTGTAAGAAGCATTAAATAGCAATATAAACACTTTCAAGGCTGCTGGGCTCAAATTAGATAATGGAGGTACAAGTACTTTATCAACTAGAAGGAAGTAAAATAGATGTTATTTGTTGCCATATTATAACAACAACTTTGATTTTGCAGTTTATATTGATGTTTTACTCACAGATATTTTCCTTTTTGGTAGTTTTGACATTTCAGAGATGTTGCCGCCAAAGAGTAATAAATGTTTTGATTCGCTTGGTCTGAATTACAAGATGATTTATTTTACCTCCAAACTGCAACTGTGAATTTCCCACTTCTTTTTCCTCTCAGTGTTACAAGTCTACAATTCAACCTCCATTTCTGCGGAAGGAAATTCCCACTGATTTCAACCCCTTCTCCTTCCAAGTTCATTTTTCTTCTCTTACGTGGGATAAAGTCTGGAAGGGAACGACGCAAAGTCTCTCTATGCTGAAAGTATTAAACTTCCTTTGCAAAGAGGTATTTTCCTATTTCAGCATAAAAAGCACAAACATGCTTCATTTAATACGTATTTCCTTATTAATTAACAAGGAGAAAACAACGAGTAGAGCTGCTCTGGTTGGGATTTCCTCATGTCCATGGGTACGGAGAGGAAGGCAGGTGGGCTGCAGGATGGCAGAGGGTACAGATTACACTGGGGCTCACACAAGCCTTTCAGAACTCATCCGGAGACAGGAAGTGATGAAATCAGTTCTCATGTGAACTGTCATGTGCACTCAGCCACTTCCTGTCTCGGTGGGGAGAGCAGGGCATGGGGAAGTGCGTCGTGGGGAGAGGGAAGAAGAGGCCAGAGACAGACGGGGGGAAAAGTCCCAACTCTGCCCCTTATGGGTTCCCTTATTCTTCTGAGACTGGGATTAAGTAAACTGGTTTATTTCCACCCCCAATAACCAATCTCTTATTGTGAAAATCTGCTGAATTTAACTATTCCCCCTTGTGAACACAGATGCTATTGATAATGCTTTTGAAGAAAGCAAGTGTCAACATATTGCAGAGCCTACTAACTGCTTAGTTAGAGCTCGGATGCCAAATGGACTAATATAATTCTTCTTCTGCTCTATCCCTAAGCAGTAAAGCTGGGAGAAGGGAGAAGAGAGGTTGGATGATCTAAGTATCTGGGCACTAGGTATCCTCTGTCACCTTGGGCCGGCCTCATTAATATTTACCACTCTCGTGTTATTCACGATAGAAAGTGGTAAAGTTAATGAGTGACACGTGTTAGAGAGGAAAAGGCGAAAAATATGAAGATGGTGTCCTTGGCACAGGAGATGACTCGGGAAAGGTGCGTGAGAAGGAGGAGGAGCTCTGGTAGTGCTGGCCCTAAGGGAACTGAGGGCATTCCCGTGACCAGGGGCTCTGGCACAGTGAGGAGAAGGCAGGTGTGTAGGGGACTAAAATATATTTTCCTAGTTTAAGAATTACAGTTAGTGAGTAATGTACGTGCTCTGCCCAGAGTGTTTGAAAGTAATGTGTTCCGCGGACAAGGTCCTTGTGATAAACAAGGTTGTTGCCTAGAGACATAACAAAGGACCTGAGTTGCAAATAAGCAAGAGCTGCCCCGCCCCATGGCATTGGGGGGTCTGGAGGCCACATGATAAACACATTGTTCCTGTGATTGCTGCGTATACCCCATAAGATGGCTGGTTAGTCAATGACGGGTAAGAACCCTCAAGGGAGGGGCGACCTAAGCCAGCACAGCCACCAAGGTTCAGCGGAAGATCTTAGGGGATCACCCTAAGAAAAGCTGGGGATGAGAAATGCCCCGTGGCTTGCCTTGCCCATCCTTGCTAATCTCGGTCCGTGATCTATGCCTAGCACCTAGAGCAACCACCTGAAAACCTTGAGCCAGGGGACATCTGCTTCCTTAAGGCTACGTATTCCAGAATTTATGGCCATTGCTGAAATGCCTGGGTGGTTATGTACAGGGAACTAACTTTAATTTTTTAGAGTATAAAAATAAAACTGACCTGGTGTATTATTACTCAAGTCAACTGTCTGTATGTGTGTCCGCATTTTTCTTTGTGTTCTGCATTTGTGTTTTGTGTTCTGTGTTTGTCCTCTGTCCTGTAAACGGGCCATGACACAGGTGTGTAAGGTGTGGGATTTCAGACTGAGGCTGGAGCATCCAGGGCCCACTCCTGTTGCCAAACGTAAGGCTCCCTCCTCACATTTTTGGTATTTTAATAAGAAAAGCCACAAGCAAATGAAGCAAATAATAATTAACGGTGGGGTAATAGGTGGTCTCGCCAGCTCTACCTTGAGGGAAGGACCAGGAAAGAGACTGGGTGGGATTTGCACCTTGAACACCGGAGCTCAACAGGAACTGGCACTTAGCTGTAAAGAAAATGAACTTGGTGCTGAACCCACCTGCTTGGGGGCTTGTTGGCTGCCTCTCCCACTGTCACTGAACAGTCTGTGCACTGGAACTAGATGTTCCCCCAGCTCTACCAGGGGCCACTGCTGGGAAACAGACCCTGGGACAGGCAAATAGGAGGTTGTCCATAGGGGCTGGGTTTGGTAAACTGGCATAGATGGAGACCAGTGGTGGTGGCTTTCACTGTCCCCAGCCCCTCCTGTCACCGAGGGGGCTCCACCCCAGCACAGATGAGAGAGGAGTCAGTGAAGCTACCTGAAATCCACAGTGTGACAGTCACAGCCAGTGCCAGGTTCTGTAACAATCTTCCATGCAAGCTACAAAGGTTTAGAAGGCAACTTTTTCTGCCTACTCATTTCTAAGTTAGAAAAAGTTACTTTCTGTTGTAAGGGTAGTAATTCACAAAGTTAAAGTAAAGAACAGACATAGTGGCTTTGACTTGGATCTTAAAAACTTTGACTATGTTAAGATAATGTTTTATGAGATAAGCTATGCAAAATCAAACACAAAATACTCATGTAACAAAATACATGCATTCTCCAGGTACAGCACACACCCCAATGTGTGTAATTTCTACCCTATTGAATTGTGGGCACAGATCAGACCCTCAGGCAGCTGGAACTGCCATGGTCACTCAGGCCTCTGGGCCTCCAGTCCCACTCTCCCAAATCCCCGTCCAAGTGTGACAAACCTTTACTGCACTCAAGCCTTTCGTCCAATAGGGGACACCCAAATCACTACTCAAGTGAGGGCCTCATTTATCAGCAGCAAGTGTGACTTCTGCTTTCTTCATTTCCTCACCCGCTGGCTATACAAGGTCCAGAGCACCTAACCACGTCACCGTCCCTCTTACTGCAGGCCACTGGTTTTCAAACTGTAGTCCCAGACCCCTCAGAGTCCCCTGGAGCCTCCCCTGGGCCGGCATAGAGTTTGAGGACAGGGTTAAAAACAGGGCTACCGGTGCTTTCCCTGCCCCTCTGTCCCACCACAGCAATTTTGCTTCTGTCCATACTAGATACTGGCATTCCAGGTCACATCTGAATCTCCTACTCAGACGAGGAACCTATTCAACCTGCTGAGTTCCGGCAAATGAGATGAGGGCGTCACACACCTGTACTGGGATGGTGAGGGACCCTCCGCAGGGCCCCCGCGACCGCTGACAGGCTCTGAAGTGCCTGTGTCCACTGCGGCTCATCTGACCCTCAGCAACATCTCCTTAAAGTGGGAATCGCCGCTATTGGTTTACAGGCAGATAAACTCACCCAAAGAGGCAGAGGTGTCCTGAAAGCAGTGTGGCTGCCGAGTGGCAGAGCCAGGACACAAAGCCTAGAGCTTGAGGCGCTGAACTCCAGCTCTGCCCACAGCACTCTGCTGGAGTATGCACTCCAACCCTGTCTCACTGGAGTACTTTACCTGCACACTCATTTACTCATTTGATCTCACCTTCCCAAGAAGGCTTTATCAATTTCCCAACTAAAACTGGGTCTGAGGAAAGAAAGGGGAGTGAAAAAGAAAGATTGTGAAGACCAGACTTCCCTAGAATTTCTATAAATCTCCTGTGGGCTTTGTGGTACATGGCCTTCCCAACACGAACCACGCATTGCCAATACTGAGAAACAGACAATCCAGTCACTGAACACCACTAATGAACACGATGAAACTACTAAAGGTCAGCAGCTGGCATCATTCAAATGTGCATTTCCTTGATGTGTCAGACACATTGCTGGATTTCTTGGTAATTTGCCTCTGCTCTTAAATACACTTAAATCAGGAAACATGTGATTCCAAAGTAAATGAATGTGCAACTCTTAGGCTAGTACTAGAAATATTACAAATGACTATTTCACAGAACCCTGATGATACATCCAACAGGAAGGAGTGAAAAGGGGAAGAACAAAAAAGGAATGTAGTTCCTCTGTTTTTAAGAACACTGAGGACTTAAAAGTATCAGTATTTTATATTCATAACTTTAGTACAACACTCGCATCATTTAAAAGCTGCTGTGTTTACACAGTGTGGAACTGTCTCTCTGAAATGCCAAACAAAGTGATTGATCCACCTGCTTTGTTTCTGTGACTTGTGGGGAAATGAATACAAGCATCAGATGTTATCTTATAGAAGGTGACACCCACGTCAAAGCTAGACACGTGCATACAACCCATGGGAATCTCCCGGTTCTGTCCAAAACAGTGTGTGCTTTGGAAGATCTTTTTCTCATAACAGCTATTGGGAAACATTCAACGGAAATTCCTTCCCCCCGGAACAGTAACTTCTTTGTGAATTTGAAACAGGGATGCCTTTGCTAATTTACATGCACACTGGGCTTTTTAATCCATTACCTGAGCAGAAAAGTCAATGAGCTTTGGAAGCAGCACTTTGCCACCTTCCTCACTCTTCAGGAAATCCAGCAAACTGCCTATTTATAAAGAAAGAACAAGTTAGCATAGTTTAAGCACACAAGAAAAAAAGCCAAACAAAATTCAAATGTTCATTACTCTTGTTGGGGGGAGCCCCTTGCAAAATTGTTAGCTTTGCAATTCTATTCGGTTCTAAGGCCTTTTCCTGAGGCTGGTCAAACCCAGTCCCCTTTGACCTGACATGAGGCATAGCATGGGCTTCAGGTGAGAAGGGATGAGGGTGGATGCTGCTTCTCTCTCTACAGGTTTCTGAGAGCGACGCATTCCAGAGTACCTGCCACCATGATTCCCTGACTGCAGCCGCCCAATCGTTAGCGAGCTCCTCTGGAAGGAAGTGTGGCAGGTGCTCACAGAGGGCCTGCCCTCCGCAGACGGTCAGCTAGGTGCACTCCTACCTACACCTCGCAGGCAGCGCAGAGCTCAGCACGCGCCACAGGTGCCGGGAGGGTATTTGATGAGTGAACTGTGCTTTGGGAAACAGTGAGGCCTACCTAAAAAGGAATGTCCCGACAGGTGAACTCTCCGGCTTCCTGTGGCTTCACCTCTAAAGCAAGACCTGCTTTTCCCCTAGAATTTTAAGTACCAACCTCATGGGTAGCCTTGGTCAAGTTATTTATCTCATGTAAGTCTCTGTAAGGTGAGCATGCACTCGCAGCTGCATTGGAGCCTTTAGGAGAACGTGATCACCGGATGGGCTCAAAGCACACGGCAGGGCGCCTGGGGGGCGCCTGGGGGTTGCTGAGCGCTCAACAAACCTTACACCGCCTCGCCCACACCGAACAGCAGCACTTAGGAAGATTACGTGAGGTTTCCCATGGAGAGCATCAAGAGGAATCTGGTACATAGTAGGTGCTCAGTGATTCTTAGGTATTGCTATGTGGAAAACTCACATTTACACTTACGATTAAAAATCCCATTAGTTAATTAACATTTTCTGAACTCCTACAAAGTGTCTGGCCCTGAGTCTGGTTTCTGGGCTATAGCAACCCAAGCCTTAGAGGCTAGTTTTTGTCTCATTTTGTTTTTCTAAATAATGTCCTTTTTTGGAAGGACTCTGAGTGACTGATATTTTGAAATATCAACAGATATATTTCAAACTGTATCAAACTATATTTCAAACTATATCAACTACATAAGCAAATGTAATATTCATCTTTTGAACCTATTTAGCTGTGGCCCTACACTATAATCTCCATTAAGCAGATGATTGTTATTTCTAGATTATTGCTTATGTTTCTTTCCTTCCTTCATTCACTACTTCTGAAGACTTTAAAAAAAATCTTTTGGCAGTTTGTTAGTCTCTTTCCTAAACTCGAGGTGGACAAAGGAAGCAGGGTGGTGACTCAAAGCCCCCTATGTGAAGGTAGTGAGAGTAGAATAAGAAATGATTGTTTGAAAACTCTTCTTCGGCAATTCTATGATTACAGAAGAATTTAACTTCCACAAGTTTTAAAAATATTAGCATTTTAAAGCGATACCCCGAACACTGGGATAATGGTAAAGAGGAAAATGAAAATTAGATAATGCTAAAGAATGAAAAGATTTTGAAACCTTAAAATTTGTACCCCCATATTATGCCAAAAAAAAAAAAAGAATGAAAAGAAAGAGGAATTAAGTTTAAGCAATTTGTACTAAATCTGTAGTTTCACAATTTTAAGAACTCACATTTTAAGTACATAACAAAAATAATCTTCTCTGAAATACACATAGTATGGGGTACTATTCTTGGGGCTAATAGGTATATGCGGGCTGACATGGAGAAAACAGGAGGGCCGTCACCAGTTTTATAACATGGATTACTTCTGATGAGTGGGCTTAGGGAGATGCTTTGTTTTCCTATATTTTCTGATTTTTCAGCAGCAAGCATGCTGCTTTACCATGAATACTATCTGAGTATTCTCTGAACATTTACACATTTTACTTTCTGAGTTGGGAGCCTTTGAAAGGCGCTGGGCACCGGGAGGCACTCACCCTTGGCCATGTACTCTGTGATGATGTAAATTGGCTCCTCCCTGGTGACCACGGCGTAGAGCCTCACAAGCTTGTCATGCTGAAGGGTCTTCATGAGGTTGGCTTCTTCGAGGAAGGCTTGCACGGACATGGTGCCTGGTTTCAGGGTTTTTACAGCCACTTTGGTGCTATTGTTATAGTAACCTGGGGAGAAAAATGAAGTCAGGGCATACTTTATCAAACATAAAATTGGAAACTTCACTTTGTAGATGCAGTGCTAGAAGAAAATTTAGCTATATAGATGGAAAAAGCCTGAGATAGGCCGGGCACAGTGGCTCACGCCTGTAATCCTAGCACTTTGGGAGGCTGAGGGGAGCGGATGGCTCAGAGACCAGCCTGAGCAAGAGGGAGACCCCCATCTCTACTAAAAATAGAAAGAAATTAATTGGCCAACTAAAAATATATAGAAAAAATTAGCCGGGCATGGTGGCGCATGCCTGTAGTCCCAGCTACTCAGGAGGCTGAGACAGAGGATTGCCTGAGCCCAGGAGTTTGAGGTTGCTGTGAGCTAGGCTGACGCCACAGTACTCTAGCCTGGGTGACACAGTGAGACTGTCTCACCTCCCCCCCCCAAAAAAAAATAAATTAACTGGGTGTGGCAGTGTGCTCTCGTAGTCCCAGCTACTCAAAAGGCTGATAGAAGGCAGGAGGATCACTTGAGCCCAGGAGTTGAAGGCTGCTGTGAGCTATGATCTCACCCCTGCACTCCAGCCCAAGTAACACAGCAAGACCCTCTCTCAAATAAAACAAAACAAAAATGGAAAGAAAAGGAAAAAAGAAAAGGTAATGTAGAGTGTTTAGTCCCACTTTTGAGAGCACCATATTATCTGTATGTGCTTAGCACAAATCAACAGTGATTATCTCTGGAGGTAGAATTTGGGGTGACTTCTACTTTCTCTTGCTCTTTTCTATCTTGATTACATTTGTCAGTGAGTATGTACCCTTTTTATTAACAAAAGGAATTATTTTTAAAAAGAAAAGAAATTATGTTCCTATTTTCAAACCTTCAAATGGGTAAGAAAAAGTATTAGCTTTCAGAGAACAACCCTAGGTAATGATTTTTCTTTGGATCATTAAGACTGATTTCTGTATTAAAACATTTCCATTTATTTTCTACTTTGATTTACACTCAGTAGGAGCTTGCTGTGCCCTATAGGAAAATGAAGAATGCAGTGTAAAATAAGTGTTAGAACGTGTGGAGAAGAAGACAATAATAGAAAGCTGACAAAGAACCATCCTAGGTCCTTTCAGAAGCTACAAGCTACCCAAAATAACTGAATATGTTCAATTGGTCTGACATTTAAATGCATAATTACAAGCAATAGCACCTTTTCTATAGAGCTTAAATGTTATTTGAAAGTAAATTCCACCAACAAGGGTCCTTTAATATTATCTTTAAATCAAGAAAATTCCATTATAAATAGGTCCTCAGTTACATGAGTATGTCCATGGTAAAACACAAGAAGAAAATATATTCTCTGTGATACATATGACTGACAAGGAACTAGCATTCAGAATATATAAATAATTCCTACAAAGTCATAAGAAAAACAGAAACAATAGGCAAAGGCTTGCATGGGCATTTCAAAAGAAAGAAATCCAAATGATTAATATACACGTGTACTCAATCATTTTAGTGATCAGGGAAATGCAAATAAAGCCATGATGAGAAACCACGCAGAGCTTGACAAAAATTGTAAAAGTCTGACACTCTCAAGTGCTGGCGAGCACCTGCCCCAGGGCACCCAGGGCACCCAGGGCACCCCCTCTCTGAGCATCACTGAAATTCAACTGCAAAGCTTCCGAAACAACGTTCCACGGGGCCCAGGAAGGGGGATGAGAAAGCACCTGCTTCCAAGTGACCACACCCGGCCCGTGCCGCCCTGGGGCCCACACCCTTCCAGCTACTACCCTGTTGGGCAGGAAAGGGGGCACGGGAACTCTCGTCCATTGCTGGTGGGAATATGAACTGAGACCAGCGCACTGGAAAATAAGTCAGCAGTAAAGTTGAAGATTCATATTCCTTACTACCCCAAACGCACTCCCGCCCTACTCGCTCTAGAGAGGCTCATCCACCCTTGCATCTGCACAAAAATGTTCGGAGCACACTGTTCACAGAAGTCAAGTCCTGGGAACAACTCCAGTTTCACCAGTCAATAGTAAAACGAACAGGTAAACTGTTGTACACCTTGAATACACGCACAACACAATGCTATACGGAATGAAGATGAAAAAACTGTAGCTCCCACACCCAAACACATGGATGAATCTCACAAACACATTGAATAAAAGAGGCAAGACATAAAAGAGCACATTTGGTGGGACTTATTTATATAAAGTTTAAAAACAGGAAAAACTGAGCTCTTTTGGGGGGATGCACACATCCCCATACACAGAGGTTGTAAAACTATGAAGAAAAGCCAGGACATTGTCACAAGGGTCAGAATAGCAGTGGTTTCTGGGGAACAGGCGGGGCTCTGGGTGCCAGGGGACGGGTGGGGCGGGGTGATTTCACTGGTCAGTAGACAGGTTTTCACTTTGTAATTACTTGTGAGACTGGATACTTGTGTTGTATGCATTTTTCTTTTTTTTGAGACAGAGTCTCACTCTGTTGCCCAGGCTAGAGTGCCGTGGCGTCGGCCTAGCTCACAGCAACCTCAAACTCCTGGGCTCAAGCAATCCTCCTGCCTCAGCCTCCCGAGTAGCTGGGACTACAGGCATGTGCCACCATGCCTGGCTAATTTTTTCTATATATTTTTAGTTGGCCAATCAATTTCTTTCTATTTTTAGTAGAGACGGGGTCTCGCTCTTGCTCAGGCTGGTTTCAAACTCCTGACCTCAAGCAATCCGCCTGCCTCGGCCTCCCAGAGTGCTAGGATTACAGGCGTGAGCCACCGCGCCCCACCTGTATGCATTTTTTCTATCTTGCTTGTTATATTATATTACATAGTGATAAAAGTTAAAGAAACAAAACAGTTCCTTCCCTTATGCTGTCAAAAAAAAAAAAAAAAAAACTGTTCAAAACTCTTATGTAATAGAAAAGTATGGGTAAAGGTTGAAGGAGAAAAACGCTTTCCAACGGTAGGGGAAAGTGACCAGGAAATACTGCAGCTCTGGATACTCAATGCTGATAAGGAGTTTGAGATGAACACTGAATAAAGCAGCTGTGTCAAACAGCACAGGGACAATGGCCGCTCTGCTAAGTGATCTCATTTTGTGGAGCTGCTGACATTTGAAGAATAAGGTGGTTTTGATCCTTACGCTAGATTGTACTTTGCCAAGATATTCCCCAAGAGTTTGAAGGTTCAAATTAACCTAGTCACGGAGATTTGGGTTGTTAGTACAGATGTAAAATCATTTTTAAAAAATACTTTCACAGTAGCAAAGCACTTCTTGTGGAGGGCCACTTTCCCGCAGTTAAAGAAAGCGGATGTGACAGCTTGAGCAAGCTCCAATTCCAGCCGGGACTCGCTCTGTCAAAAGTGCCCAAGTACCCAACAAAATGGAGGGTTTTTTAAAAAAAATACGTGCAGTTGATTGTGGAAGTTGGCTAGTGATTAGTTTTAATTCAGTTGGCTCAAACGAGAATTTATCAAGCAAAAGTCAACTTAAAATGTTTCCTTTCTCTGTAAAGCCTCTTCACGGACCACATGGTAAGAGGAAACGCCGTCCTTAGCCTCCCCGTTCAGCCCGCTCCCTGGGAATAGGACAATTCACAGAGGAAACATGTCACCCAAGTCAGATGTCACGAGGATCACACAAACAAGAGGAAACAGCTTGAGGCAAAGACACCTCTTTCTTTCATCCCCACCCACCCCCTTGCCCCAAAGAACAGGTCACTTCCTAGTATTTGTTTGCTGTGTTTCAGACCAAAAAAATTCAGACCATAAAACAGACTGTTTGTTGAACAATTCCTTACATTTAACCAAAAAATTAACTTATTAGGTTAACAGTAATATGATTTTAATTGGTTGTATTTTTTCTATCAATGAGAAAAGCTAATCTGCTTATCCTTTGAGAAGATCTAAACTGCACAGGCCTAGTTATCACACCAGCACTTGGACAATCGGAATGAGATGCACAAACGCACAGTGGAGAGGGGGCATTATCTGACCTCCAATTCATAACACACATCACTAATCACCACCCTTGGTTTTATTCCTGGTATTCCTCTGCTAACCGTATTCAACATGCTGAAATTACTTCAGTAGCTAAGAAGGAGCTCCCTGGCTGACAGCCAGACTCATAGACGACATCAGCAAAAGATCCAAGGTCAAAATTTTCTATTTTTTCTTCTTTTCTCTTCTCCTCTACCCACTCTCCCTTCCTCTCCCTCCCTTCCAAACAAGACTAGAAGGAGAAAAGCACAATTTAAAAACAAACAACTATCAATGCAAATAACTTGGTAGCGAAACTGTACTACCGTTTTTTGCAAGATGTTATCATTGGAGGAAACTGGGTAAATGGCACATGGGATTTCTCTGTATTATTTCTAATAATACATCAGATGTTTCCCCGAAAATAAGACCTACCCATAAATAAGCCCTAGCAGGATTTCTAAGCATTTATGCAATATAAGCCCTACCCCAAAAATAAGACCTAGTGATGGGCGTGGCTATGCAGCACATCTGCACAACCCATGCATTTCCTTGTGGAGTGGTAAAGAAGATGGGCAGCCCTTCTCATCTGCCCCATGAGAGCTCTATTGCTTGACATGAGAGATTGGGGCCAATGGTTCTAAAGGAAATAGAGTCGCAAGAAATTCAGGATGGAATTCAGGGTTAGGATGATGTTCCAGAAGAAGATGACTTAACTGTATTTGAATAAATGTATATTGTTATATCTTACTTAAAAAAGTAACACATCCCCTGAAAATAAGGCCTAGGGTGTCTTCTTGAGGAAAAATAAATATAAGACCCTGTCTTATTTTCGGGGAAACACAGTATATATATATATATGCACCAGCCTTATTAAAATGTAATTCACATCCCATGCCATTTATTCATTTTAAGTCTATAGTTCATCAGTTTTTTATATATTCAAAATTGTGTAACTATCGCCACAGTCAACTATAGAACGTTGTCATCATCCCAGAAAGAAATCTTGTCCTCATGATCAGTTACTCTCACTATCCTCCCAGCCCC